CAACATAACCTTCCTGTTTCACATATCACATTTATGGATGACTCTACTTTGATTGCTTCATCTAAACGAGGAATTGAAGATCGCCTTTCCATTACTGCTGAATTTTATACTTTAAATAATACTCAAGCAAATTCTGCAAAATATATCCTTCTTTCTTCTAAACAATTCTCTCAAAATATAACATTTGATCTTTCTTTTTCTCCTTTAATTGCATCTCATACCCTTACTTTAAAGGCGTTAGCCTTATCTACATCCTTTCGTTTTTTAGGTGTTTGGTTTAATCTTTCGGCTTCTTCTCGTTTTGTTCACAACCAAACTGTTTCCATGGTCAAAGATATGGCTGCTTTACTTAGTCCTAAAAAACTTTTGGCACAACATGTGGCTTATCTTTATAATATTGTTTTACTTCCGAGGCTAGAATTTCGCCTACAATCCACATTATTTGCTGAATCCACCATTAACCGCATGGTTTCTCCAATGCTTTCCCTTATTCGTCAGAAGGCTGGCCTTGCCTCAGTCACTCCTCTTCCTGCGCTTTTCACATTGTTACCATTCTCTATTCAACAAGCGTTTGGCCGATTTCTATCATCTCATGTGGCTTCATGGCAGAAAATTTTTTCTCACCCTTCATATAAGCTCTTTGCCAATTATATGATCACTTATCTCCAAGGTTTTTTGGACTGTGACGCCTGTCCTTCTACTATCGACCTGGAACCATGGTCCCATACCTCTTCCTTACGAACACATTCTTTATTCAATTCTTTTTTGTTCTCTTCTCGACTAAATATCACGTGGTCTTTATTGTTCTGACCTCCGAGGAAAGATTTACGTCTGGCGATTCCACTCCGGTCTATTTTACCGAAAGAATTATTTACTTCCATGAAAAATGTTCGAAACAACTTCTGTACTCATTTTCTTGCTCAATTGATTACACCGTGTGGCTCTCGACTTCTCTCATGGAAAGATTTACGCTTTCTTAAACGAGTATCGAACAAAGGATCTGTGCCTGCTTGGTTTAATTATTTATTTAATCTTATTGTTATTCCTAATTCTCCTTCTTTATTTGTTTTATCACAATTTAGAATTCCTATTTCTCATACTGTAGCTTCTATTTCTTTTATAGATATTAGTCGAAATTATTGGTTTAACCCTCAATGGGCTATTTCTTTTAATCGTATTACTAACTCTTTCCTTGTTGGCCGTGTGATTACTACCTATCCTGCTCCACGTAATGAAGCTCTTATTTCACATTGGATTGCGTCATCTGTTGATGATTTGCTTTCTGAATTTACTGCATGCCAAGGTTGTGCCTCTGCTATTCCGCGATCCTCTACCTCTAAGACTTTACTTAAACGATGTCCCTCTGAAGGATGCTTTTCTTATGTTCCGTTATCAAGTTTGATCCGTTATCCTACAAAACCTCGTACTTACATACATGCGGACACTCGCTCGGTTTCACTTTCTGCTTCGCTAGGCTATGCCAAATCTCTTTTATTATTTCATCTTTTTGCTCCGATTTGACTACTCCTTATGAATAACCAAGTGTCTAGGATTTCTGATATCCAACTTCCTTCTTCGGTGTCTACACTGTATATTGATGGTTCCTTCCTTCCTCCTTCTAGTCATCCGATATCTTCGATGGCTTATGCATGGACTGCTATAGATCCTGATGGATTTATTTTGGAATCCCATTATAATAACATTTCTTCCATTTTTCCTTCTGCTTTACGTTCAGAAATTTTTGCTTTATTGCACGGATTGGACTCCCTCCCTCAGAATTCAAAGATTACTGTTGCCACTGATTGTGCCCAATTACTTTCTTTATGGTCTTTGTATGTGGATGCTCCTTTTATTCCCAGAATGCTTAAAGAATCCAACCACCTTTTGTGGTCCTCCATACGCACTATTATGTCGCAAAAGAATCTGGATGTTTCCTTGATCAAGGTTCCTGCTCACGCTGATGACCCTTTGAATAATCATGTGGATGCATTAGCCAAAGCCGCTCATAACGACTCATATCTTTCTTCTCAGAATTGCTGGCTCCTTGCATTTTACAATTTAATTCTTTACCTGTGGATATGAATATCCGGAAATTTATTAGAGATATTTTTGACGCTAAAAGTCTTTTAACTCTTGCTATGTTACCAAGATTTAACTCCTTTTCTTCAACTTCTGATATTGATTGGGCTTGCACCAAATTTTGTCTCATTAACAATAAGCAATTTGTCTCTCATCGGAATGGCCGTTCTGAGTTTTGTGGTTTCCATATCAAACTACTATTAGATATGCTTCCGACGCTTACAACTCTTCAGAGACGAAAGCCTCATCTTTATAATCCAAGTTGGCTTTGTCCTCAATGTAACTCTTTTCCTGAGACTTTAGACCACTTGTGGACTTGTCCTTATATCTTACCGGAATTTAGCCCTTTAAATACTTTTAAAACACTTCTATTGGCTCTTCGGGCTAATTATCTTGACAAATTCCTTTCCGCGTCATCTTTAATACCTTTACCAGACTCTTTTGCTGCTGAATTTATGGCTCTTGATTGTTGGGATTGTGACCCTCCTTCATTTTCTTGCCTGAGACTCGCATGAGGACTTATACCGATATCCCTTACAGAATTTCTTGAAAACTATTTTTCTTCACTTATCATATGGTCTATCTTAGATACACCTTTGCACGACTTTCATTTTGACCTTTATGTTCAAATCTGGTTGTGCCACTCCATTTTCTTTCATCATTGGGAATCAGCTCAAGGCATTACAAAAAAAATGAAATCGTCAGCTCTTGGGCCTTCTTCTATTCTTCGTCCTTCCTCTAACATTCCTCTTGACTCTTCGACACCTTCCTTGGCGACAGCTTCCTTGGATTCCTGGGTTTCTTGGGTTTCCTCTTCTATAATCCGTGGGGGATCTTGGATTTCGCATTTGGATTTTTGGCGCCGCTTAACAGTTCAGCCTCTACTTAGGATTTCTTTTTGGTAACGGATTGGATCTTAGGACATGCTGGATAGTTGACTCACACTGGCCTTCGGGTAAAGATGGGGTATGCGTTTCTGTAATAGTTTAGTTTTTCTTTACTTAATTTTATTTTGTTTAGATTTCTTTACTTGTATGAATCGTGAAGCTAGTTTTTTTTTATTTTTGTTTAAATTTTATATATTCTGTAATATAGTTCGATTTGTTTCTTGTACTTTTCGTTTAAATTTTAATAAAAGATAAAGTCATAAGACTGTTTGCTCATAATCACCAAATATAGACTGTCACAAATGTGTGACTATAAAGAGAGTTGACTGTATATTGTTTAATATATAGACTTTATTAAAAGTAATGGTAATTAGTTTTTAGTCAAAAATGCATATATTTTGTTATTTAATTAATATTTAATTTGACTTTCATTTATTTGCATCAATATATACTTCAACTTTACTTTATATACTATTATTACAAATAACTTTGCTATTAATAATTATGCTATTTTCAAGATCATTTTACTCCTTTTTAAATAAATTAAAAAATAATCTAAAATATTTTTTTTGTTTTTATATTATCATTTTTTTAATATATTACTTCAAAAAAAAATCCAAATTTCTCATTAGGACTTGAAATTTAGGCTTTGAATAGACAAGAAAAACTCATTATTAAAAGATAAACTTTCATACTACATCAAATATTATGTTTGAATTATTTTTTATATATTTATTATAATAAAAAACTCATCAATAATCTAGAAAATTATTTAGTTAGTTAAAAATACATATATTTCAAACTTTTCTCAATGAAAATTAAAATATATAAAATGATCGTTACTTTAATTTTGGCAGTATTTTTTGAGAAATAGCTTTAGTGTAACATTTAGAATAATAATATTTAGAATTTTGCCAAGTTTTTAAAGAGAAGGGTGTATTACTTATGATAATACAAAAAATTTCCAGTTCAATTAAAATTACCTAAAATTTTTGTTTCAAAAGAAAGTTAACAGCTTTATAAATAAATTTAATTGTAATGAAGCCATTTTGAACAACAAAACAAAAATAATGTCAGTATTTAAAATTACTTTTTTTTGTTGCTTTTTAAATAATCATTCCATTGTTCAATTTGGTATAACAAGTAATAATCTAATTGGAATAGTAATAGCGTTATAACCAAATTGAGAAGCAGTATTCTCACTACTATTACTTTCACTAAGAATTGTAATTGACAACTTTTTTCTTAAACTCAATAGTATATAAAATTCATTTAACTTTAATTTGTCCTTGGGAAAATTATTATAATTACATTTAATAAAAAAAAGCTGTACATTTCAAACAAAGTATTTGTATCTAACTTTATAATAAAAAAAGGTTGCTTATTTTTAGGCAAATATGGTATTTTAATAAATAATACTATCAAATTTATTCAAATTTATTCAAATTTTTAAAAGTTATTAATTTATAAATAAAAAAAAAAAAATTCTAGTATTTTATATAATTGTTTACAAAAAAAAAGTTTTACAAAAAAATTTTTACAAAAAACAAGTAAGTAAATAAAATAAAATTATTGCAAAGAAAATAGAATTCCAAATATATATTTTTATAAAGAAAAAACAATAAAGAAGATGAAGTTAAACAAAGACTCAAGAAAAAAAAATAATAATTTAAAATAAAGAAAAGGTTACTATAAAAGTTTTTTTCGGGTTTGAAACTTATTCAAAGCACTTTATTAAACGTAAAAATAGCTAGTTACACAGGTAAGTTAATCCGATTTCCTCTTCTGGTTTTTTTTTAATAAAAAAGAAAAAAAGAAATCAAAGATTAACAGGTTAATCAAGTTAGGTTAAAATGGTTAAAAGTCAAAACTACCCTGATCTAATATTAAATTATAAAAATTGATTACCTAATATAAATATTTGAATCAACTTAAATGAATTGACTCTTAGAACTCTACTACTTATATGTAAATAAAAAGAGTAATAATTTTTCATATAATAAATTTTTCATATAATAATAAATAGGGAATTCTATTTATATACTTTCAGTATAAATAATTTTTTTTCGATTCATTAGTTTACATTTCAGTATAATTCAATTAGATTTTTACAAGGAAAATAAACAAAAATAAACAGATCAGCATAAAGCTTTCCTTGTCTAATACTCTTGTTTGGTTATTGTTATCCGTTTTAAAGTTCGGCAAAATTTTCGTTTGAAAATTAATGTTTATACCAAATATATGCAATTAGTGCTAACTAACTGACCGCAAAAATTATTTGTACACCAACTCCGCAATTAACTATTCGATCAGTCCAAATTATCATGTTAAATTATTTAGAAGTTCTTCCATTCCCTTTTATCCATTTTGTAATTTGTTCTTCGCGCCCAATCTAACTTTTGAATAAAGTCAACCTCTTTTATTATTTACCTCAACTTTACTTACATTCCTTTTGTTATTATGAGCAAATTCAAGAAGGGGTTGACTGTAGACCGTGACGTTGGAGACCCGATGCGTCGACCTCGTCCTGTCTCACAAGAAGGGTATTATTATCCAGAAGAACATTTTAATGACAAACACTTTTTACACCCAAACTCTAAACGTCAGCCGATGCGTCAATATGGCTCTTCCGCTTCTTTAGAAGTGCGTCATGAGCAAAATCGTCGGCAAAGAGAACAAGAGTTTTTTAATTCACCATCTGGTACACCCAAACCGGCGACTTTTGAAAATTCACGAAATACACCAGTAATGCAAGCGTCAGCTTATTATCAGCAGCCTACTAAGCAGACAAGTGATTATCATAGTCGTCGTATTCCGAACTCCAGGGAAGTTCCGCGATCCGTACCAAATACAAATTTACACGGCATTAATACCTCCAACACTCACTTGGGCTCCAATCAAAATTCTTACCATTCCAACTCTCCAGGTTATTTAGCACCTCAGTCTCATCTATCAAATAATTCGCGTGCCCCTTCTCCACAACATCAAATACCTCCATCAAATTATTCACAGCCGATTCGAAAAAATTCTACTGGACAATTTTCACAAAATTCTATGAATTTGCAAAGGCCTTCACAAGAATCACTTGCAAAACCATTTGTTGCGAATTCTCGCGGCACAGAACAATATCAAAAGTTACATATTCCTCCAGGTCATAGGGAACTATCACATCAATATAATCATTATTCGTCCAACAATCAAAATAAAACCAGAGAAGCTCCAATTGTAGATAGTAACCACACTCAAAGTAGAACTAGAGAAGTTCCAATTGTAGATAGTAACCACACTCAAAGTAGAACTAGAGAAGTTCCAAATTTAGATAATAACTACACTCAAAATAAAACCAGGGAAGCTCCAATTGTAGAAAGTAATAATACTCCGCGTTTAAATCTGCCTGATCCTGTTACGATAGAAGATTATATTTCACAAGCAATTAAATATCATGAAGATGATCAACTTGCAAAGTCAACGGAATATTTAAGAATAGCTGCAGAAAGAGGTTCTGCTGTCGGAAAAGTTCTATATGGGATAGCTTTAAGACATGGATGGGTAATTATTACAAATAACTTATTAATTTCGAATAAATTCTTGAATCCTACTATTAAATCAATGACACTTTGTCACATTTTCTGTTTAGGGATGTAAAGTAAATGAAGCATTAGCGTTCAATCATCTTCAACAAGCTGCAGAATCTGCGATAACTATCCTGAATGGTATTAATAAAACGGTTAGTATGTCGGCATTTAGAGGAGAATTGGTTTTAGCGATTTATGAATTAGGTGTATGTTTCCGACATGGTTGGGGAGTTATAAAAGCTAAAGCAACAGCCGCACACTATTTTGAAATAGCAGCTAACATGGTAGGTTAGATTTAAGAATTCTAATTTCCCATAAAAAATTTCTTGACTTTATTAATTTTGTTGAAATTAGGGTGACCCTGATGCACAAAATGATATAGCATATTGTTATTCCAAGGGAGACGGGGTGAAGAAAGATATGAAAAAGGGTAAATGTAATTTTGTTATTATTATTTAACTTTTAGTATACTTAATTAAATTTTATATCCAAACAGCTGCCAAATATTACAGGATGGCAGAAGCACAAGGTCATGGCACGTTGGGCAATTCTTGGATTTACAAAGAAAAGTATAATGATAATAAATAATAATTAATCATTTTGTTGTGAATTTCCGTGACTGGAATTTTATCCTCTTGATCGAGGCTGGAAGAACAAAATTTGTCGTGGACATTTTTACTATTATTCTAATATTTACTTTCTTTATTTTACCTTTCTTGATGTATATAATTATTATTACTATTCTTTTTTTTAAAAAAATCATTATTTGTAGAGGGTGGGGGAGTTTTTTGAGAAAACTAGAATTTTAAATTTATAATTTATAGATGTAACATAATATTTATTGTTATATCATATTTAGGTATAATCCAATCAAAATTAATGGACAGGTTTATTTAATTTATTCATTTATTTTATTCGTATTACTTCTTATCTGATATTATCTATTTTTAAAAAAAAAGTTTTTTTTGAAAAATCTCGGTTCATTGAATGAACAGAGAAGTAAAAATTTGTATATCTTTTATTTGCATAATTTAATTTTTATAATTGTGAATATATTAAATGACGTTAGTCGCACAAGTTTTTGTTAAACGATCGGAAATTTTTGAAAGTGATCTTTTTATCCTAAGCATTAAAAAACCAATTACATCACAAGATATATGTTGTCACGTGGTTGTGAATGTGTTACAATTTTGTTCGCACCAACACTTTTTTCTTTGTTGCTTTTCATTCTCGTCATGACTGATCCTTACTTATGTTCGTTGAGTCAATGTATTATCGACGATATAAAACTTCCAGGTTTGTTTTTTAAATGTTAGAGACGTTTGAATGCGTAAAATAATCAATCTAAATATTTTTCTTATATTGTAATTAGATGGAACATTTAGGAAAGATGTTTTAAGTGGAGGCGGTGTATATGCTACATACGGTATTTTATTTTTTTATATCAATTAAATATTCGAATTAAACAAAATGAACATTGCATTGTTTTTAATTAGGAATGAGGTTATGGTTTTCTCCACCGGAATCACTAAGAATCGCATATTCCTTTCACGCTGGTTATGATTTTCCAATCAATATTCTAGAAAAATTATTATCATTAAATATTTCTTTAACACAAATATGGCATTCAAATTTACCTTCAATTCGTGGATTAGCTACTTTTACATCAGCAGATCAGCGTATATTTGTTTATCAAACTCCACCGATAGGAACCGTTCCAGCAGATTTACCAAGCTCTTACCTAAATTCCAAAATTTTTCATTTCATATGTTCCCCAAGTTGGGCTTCACAGCATATTACAGAGATTTTAAAATTGAGAGATAAACAATTACCTCCACCAATTTTTGTATGGGAGCCTGTACCAAATAGTACAATAAAAGAGAACTTACAATCTTGCGTGGAAGCCATGAAAATGGTTAATGTATTATCTCCGAATCACGAAGAAGCAGCAGCACTTTTAGGGCTGATAAGCGGGGAAGACGAGGAAGTTGATAGATTTTTATCTGAAGAAATGTTAATGTACATGGCGGATAAATTTTTGTCATATCAAATTGGACCTCAAGGGAATGGGTGTGTTATAATTAGAGCTTCTTATAAAGGTTGTTTAGTAGCAACAAAAGAAAAAAAAGAAATAATACCAGCTTATTGGACAATATCAAGAGATGGCATTAAAAATCCTCACGTTATTGATGTTACAGGAGCGGGAAATGCTTTTTGTGGAGGGTTTATGGCTGGGTTACTTCGATCAAATAATGATGTTTTTGAAGCTGCCTTATATGGATCTGTTAGCGCATCATTTACTGTTGAACAGCTCGGAGCTCCAAGACTCGAATTTGATCAAAATGGAAATGAAATTTGGAATTCGGGTGAAAGCCCATATGAAAGGTTACACAAATTAAAACAGCGAGTTAAAGAAAAAATTAAAGAAAGATTAAAAGTGAAACTAAAAGAAAGGATTCAAGGAAAATTGAAAAACAAAGATACTAATCATCATCAAAATGGGATTGAAACGGGAGAAATGGATAAAGATAATAATATTGGAAAAGATAGTAGTGATATTATTAGTGACGGGAGAGACTTAATAGATGAAAATTTTCGAGATCGTATGAGTCCGGCTGATTAAAGGATTCCTTTTTTTTTCTGTAATGGTTGTAAAGTAATCTCAACTATTTTATTTATCGTTATACTACAATAATAAACAATTCACGTAGTTAGGATTTGAATTTTTCTCATTACTTCCTTACTTTCATTACTTTCATGTACAAATTAATTCTAAATTTCATTATCAAAAAGGAATCATTTGATTAATAAATGTTATACGCGTTATACGCGTCAAATTTTAGTTTTATTTTATTTATTTTATGTGGTGGTTCTCGCGTCACGTCATGTGATAATGTTTACACCATGTAAAATAACCAGTTATGTAATTTTTTAATATATCCAATAGTATATTTTTTATTTTTTATATTTTTTAATTTTTTATTTTTATATGATAGTTAGTAGAACATGCCCAGAATATACACATATGTAGTATCTAGGGGTTAGATAAATAAACGGGGGGTCCAACTCAAATGTTACACAGGCTAATCATTGAAATCATTGACCGCCAGAACTGTCACTCTCATATATTGGTTACACAAACGAATTTTCATATTAAAATTTCACTTTTTTTTTATTTTTTCAACACGTACACATAGAAAAGCAGCCGATCCCAGAAGCCAAGGTTGTATATGCTAGCTCTATATAGGCGAAGTTTTTTCATTAAAATTAGATCACTGGTTGCTTTGTTCTTAATTTTATATGTTTTTTGCTCTTTTATGATAGTAAGTTAAAATTATATCCTTTTTTTTCGAGATTTCAACAAGTATATACTAAATATTTTTACGTAAAACATTTTAAAATAGCTTTTTCTTCTTTTATTATGTATTATTTTCAAGTGTGTAAATAAACTTTTATATGTTTTTGAGGTATTTCAAACAGCCGATCCAAAATTTTAAAAAATATAGACAGAATATTTCGAAAAAAAAAATATTTTCGTGTAGTTTCACATTTCGTCATTACCGATTTATCATTTTTTTTCATAGATTATATTGATTATCGGCAGATCTTTCACTTTAAACATGGGGTAATATTTAATTTTAATAGTAACACATAGTAATTTACATATGGCTTCAGTTCTGGCGATCACTGATCAGTCTGTGTAACATTTGAGTTGGACCCCCCGTTTATTTATCTAACCCCTAGGTAGTATTTTAACATAGTTTTTTGATTTATTTCATGATCATGTGATAATGCTAGTTTTAATCCAACAATTTCGTGTAACAATAAAATTTGATAGAACTTACACGTTCATAAGTTTTGAAAGTCTCAAGTTTCTCTAAAGAGTACATTGGCAATAACTAATTATCGATGGCAGAAAATTCATGTCGTCGACGTAAGAAGCAAACTCAAGATAACAATATTCTAGTATTTTTAACGCCACCTCCATTATCTGATATTACGCGTCAAATCAACAATGCGAATTGCAGGCTTGAAACTTCAGAACCTGTTACCCCGACTCCAGGTGTACCACCCAAGAAAAGAATAAAATGTGATAATTTACAAAATGATTCCCAACCTGATTTTTTCGCGAATATACCAGATAATATTCCAGTTTCAACATCTTCGCGTCTAATTAAGGACACCGATTTGTATTATGGGTTAAGTTTGCAGAATGCATTATTTCAAAGGGAAATTTGGGGATCTACTATTATGGGTGGTTCAACTATGGCTTCAAGGAGATGGAATGTTTCGACGCGTTTTTTTATAAAAGATTTTAAAACCACGGATAATAATGTGTTTAGATTTCTTGGTGATCGAAATTTCGTCGCGCCATTTGTTTGTTCTTTCAGTCATGTGGCTTGTAACGGAAAGCTTTTAGCCGCAGCAGATGAAGAAGGAATGGTGGGATTTATTGATGCTAGATATGACAATACCATTGAGCTTGAGCGGGTTCGTAATGAATTTCGTGCACACGATAATGCCGTTTTTGATGTTGTGTGGAGTCACGATGACTGTTCGATGGTTACTGCTTCCGGTGACCAAACTGCAAAACTATGGGATGTGGAATTACAACAATGCAAGTCAACATTTGGAGGACATACTTGTAGTGTTAAATCTGTCAATTTTAATCCTTTAAATCCAAATTTGTGGGTAACTTCTTCAAGAGACGGAAATATATTTATCTGGGATACCCGGTTAATTGGAATGTGTTCTGAAGCTTTTAAGCCAATTATTAGCATTCGCAATGCACATTCGCATGGCATCTCAAAGAAGAGATCAAAAAAAAGTAGTCAACTTCCTCCAGTTAGGAGCAAACCAACCAGCAGTGTAACGGGAGTACAATTTTTATTGAATCAAGATTTATTATTGGCATCCTCTGGGGCAAGTGATAGTATCATCAAATATTGGGACCTACGAAATCAAGACGCATCAAGTAATCCAACGCCAGTTCAAACATCTGTTAACGGTTCATTGGCCAAACGACCCCATGGTATATCAGATTTGATTTTGGATAAAAGTGGTACTCGTTTATACGCCAATAGTACGGATAACTATGTTTATATGTATGATGCTGCTAATCTGGGAGCTCCTATTGGTTATTTTACAAGTCAAACTTACAGATGTTCTACATTCTATATTCGATTGGCTTGTTCACCTGATGGTCGTTATATTGCGAGTGGATCAAGTGATAAATCTATTTATATTTGGGAGGTTGATTTTCCTGGTGCTGAACCAGTTGTTTTGAAAGCTCATGAGAGTGAAGTTACAAGTTTAAGTTGGTCAAAAGATATTGAAACAATCGCTTCCTGTTCCGATGATACAACTCTGCGTATTTGGCGAATTGGTGGATCAAGTTAAGAATAAAAAATTTCATATAACAGGAATGACGCTGGATTATGAATTAATAAAAATGAAACTTATGTATTACTTATTTGTAAGCACCAATTAACATTGAAATAATGTATCGTGTGCATAAATTAAAATGCATATGTATATTTTTTTTCTTATAAAATCAACTTGAAAATAAATAATATAATATATAACAAAAAAAAATATATATAAATATGTAAAAAAAAAATAATATATATATAAAATGATACTGGATATCAAATAAATTGTTAATAAGCAAATAAAATAAATAAAATAAAGCCTATAACTGTAAACAACCAAAAAGTCGCAAAACCTAAAATATAATAAAAACAATTGTTAGGACAGAAACCAGTTCCGATTAATTTTTGTTGCCTTTCTAGGCTTTACAGGCTTTGACCCATTTTTTCCCTAATTTTCCTTACCCTCGTGAATACATTTTAAGTGAAATAATAAATAAATAAAATAAATAATAAAATAATAATCATAGTAATGAAATAATTCATTCTTCAAATTTTATCCTAAAAAAAAAGAAATAATAAATGTTCTAACAAACTAATAAAGAGTATATAAATATGTATAATTTTTTATCAAGATGCTCGTTGTTCAACTGGAATTGAATTTTCATTATTAACAATTGATGATGATGATGATGAAGCTGGATATATATTAGTAGAATTAGGATTTTGATTTTCACTGTTTCCTTGCTCAATATATGTCTGATGTTGTGGGTTATTATGACGTACGACTTGTACTTCTCCATTACCAGAACTTGGTCCTTCGCCATTATTGTTTGAATTATCTTTTTTTGAAGAAACAAATTTTTCACACCGTCTTAATATATCTTTTGTAGTTAACCCTTCAGGATTACTGAATAGATCTTGATCGTGTAAAATTGCTGCTAAATCTTCTGGGACCTATATTTTTTTAAACATATGTTAAATTTTTTTTATTCATAAACGTATAATATTTTGAAATTTCTAGCTTACCACCCAGAAATCATCTTGATAATTAAGTAAACTATGTACAGCCTCAATAGCTAAAAATGAATCATCTTTAGTTGGATCTTTTGATTTAGAATATAGTATATTTGGTGTAATTACTGTGGCGAGATTATGCAAATCCATCTTGCTTCCTGTTTCCTCATCTACGTGAGAAAACGAAGCTACCCATTTGAAGAATATAAAGAGAACTTCCATAGTATCACGATTAATTTTCGGTAAAAGGCAACACGTAAGATGTAAAATCTTTTTACGATCTGCTTCATTTACAAGCTCTACATTTATAAATTGTATAAAATTAGAATCGACAAACCATGTAAATTAAAAATACTTTAAATATTGCAGATAATTACTTTGTGAGGTTATAAAAAGTCTATGTAATTTAAAGGTGAGTAACGGATCAGGAAGATCACGTAAAAATTTTTTCATCAACGCAGCCACCTGTACAGGATTATCCTCGGAAAGGTTTACCGCTGAGGGGTTCTTATCTATCGCTTCGCTAAGATCTTTTAATCGTCGAATATTACCATTTTTACGGAATATACCTTCAACTGACATATCTAACAATATTATAGAAAAATGTCAACAAAATAATAAAAATAAATAGAACATCAACACAAGTAATTATATTATACCCATTGTTTTCATGGCAGATATACTATCGTCGACAAAGCTAGGAATCCTTATACGACCAGGGCCAGCACTTAACACAGAATCAATACCATATCTTTCGACAAGAACTTCAAGAGGTACACCGAATGTGCCTATAAAATATAGATGATATAACATGAATTATTTGTACATTATAATTTGTTCTATTAAATTATAAAATATTAATATGAATCAGACCTTTTTTCTTTATAGGTTTTTTCTCTGTCGGCTTAATCGATGTAACAAATTTTGTCCATAATGTAGCTTTTTTTGATCCAATCAGATCTAACAGCTCTTCTAACGTAAAATGCTCCTTCAAAAGCTGTTCCATTGCAAGGACAGCTACATGTTTAACAATAAAGTATTCTAAAGCAGAAAGCTCAGATAAATAACACTTTGAACGTGATTTGCGTCTTGACGTTTTATTTGATTTGTCTTCAGGAACATTTTTTTCCATTTCCGCTGCGGCTATAGCAGAAATATCAGCTAATGTAATAGCTTCATTTTGTGAATCAAATTTTATCATATTTTCTTGTGATTGCGACTCATATGCTTGATCCTGTACGATTCTAACATGGTGTTGTGAAGGAGCTCTTGCTAATTTGTCCTTCTCATTAGGTACCGAACTCGTTGTGGGCTCCGATTCTTGTTCTATTATTCTGGATCGTGTTGCAAATCTTGCCGAATTAGATAATTTAGTATCCATGTGAACGGACTTCATACGTTTTATATCAGTTCTATTACGAGCTTCATAACTATCCCCACTGGAATAAGATTTCGATCTAGAATCTTTACGAATAAGTCCAGGTTCCGATTTCTGCTCTTTACGCCCACGTTCAACTTCGATATCCGATTGACTTTGACCCTCATCTTTTAATAAACATAAACATGAAGATATTAATAAGGAATATTTATCATAAAATATTTTCACCCAATATTTTCAACCGATAAAATTACCTTTTCTCCTGAGTAAATTATATAAGCGCGATAGTGCCACACGTAACAAATATGTATACTGTTCCAACTGAGTTACATACTGGAATCCTAATGCTGATTGTTCATTTGTGTCATTTGGACAAAATGCCATCTCCGTTATCTGATTAAAAGATGCATCCTTATATATTGTTCGCAATTCACGAGAACATCCAGAACATCTCAAACAACCAATGTGCCATCGATATTGTCCATATTTGTAACACTCCTCTTCAACCGTAATGCGACATGCATGACACGAATCTGACGTAACCTCACTATCACTATCTATATTCGTGTCTTTATCTAGTTGACTACCTTTTTTTGTAAGTTCGACAAGTTTACCTAAGAATTGTCCTATTGCCCTAGTATTGTCAAAATCTCTTTCCTTAAGGTAATTAGAATTTCATCAATAATAATTTATTTTATTGGATAAATAAGTATTTAGTAAAAATATATAATTACCAATTTCAATGCACCTGTAAGCGCGATCCTAATCAATACTTTTAGGTAGTGTGCTAACCCTGTCACTAAAGATAAGAGTTCCTGTGTTATACCCATTTGTCTAACATCTGTTTCCTTTGAATGCGATAATAGGGAGAAAAAATTAACTATTTTTTTACAAAGCATTTTTGCTTCCCTATTGTGTTGAAGACCTAATATTATAAATCGAGAAAACTAAATGTTACCAATAATAGAGAATACAAAACATTATTTCGAATTAAAACTAACCTTGACCGCTTGTTTGTACTAATTGATTTTCTAAATCATCAATAGCAGAAAATAATATTTCAACATGACTTATAAATTTTTCAGCCATTCTTACACCATCAAAATAAGATCCGTTTGACACATGTAAAAGCATATCCGAAATACACGCTGCCGACATTTCTTCAAATGTAGAAAGCACTGTCCATATATTATAAACTTTTTCTTCCATGGCTTTTTGCTTGTTTTTAAGTTCTTCGGGCGACGTAGCCTCTTGTTCTGGTTAAAATTCATAAAGTTAAAAATTTACGTTATAATGATTATATCAAAATAATATAATAATGATAGTAGTCATAATTGAATATAAAATAAACAAAATATGTATGTATGTATACTCAAAGATTAAGCTATTACCATTTTCCAAACCTTGTTTATCATCTGGATGGTTCGACAATTTTACATTCCAAAACTAACCAAAATTTTGTTAATAATACGAGTTAGTCGTAAGTTAACATATATATGTAACTAATTCATAAAAAAAAAAAAAAAAAATACCGCGGTAATTTTTTCCCGGGTAATAAAACAAACATGGGTTTGTAGATAGAAATCCGGCATACCTTATGGATCATATAACATTCGGGATGCCAATGTTCGTCAATACTATTTCGATTAATTTCTACAAATTGTTTTAGAATAGCAGTTTGGCAACCCGCACATTTGACCGCAAATCGAGTAGAGTAATGGTAATGGCAGTAAACCTGGCCGTCATGTTCATAATACGAATCTTGAGGGCCGAACACTGTAGGACAAGCAGAACAGGTAAAGTGTTCAATGTGATACTTCTTATCAAGAGCGGTAATATAAGATCCTCGAAGAGCACCACCGCACTTTTCACAGATGAGATTTAGCCGTCGAAAATAGTCTCGTTCACATAAAGGGTATTGTTTTCCATCTGGACCTTCTATCGGAAAGAATTTAGCGGCAACAATAGTTCCACACTATATTAAAATAATAATTCAAACCAGTTACAATAAGTAATTATCGTAAATTTAAGGGATTTCAAAAATTTTCATAATACGATGATTAGTTACCTGACATTTGAAGCAATCTAAATGGTATGTCCCTCCCAAAGCCCGTACAAATTGTCCAACTATTAAGAGTCCACATTTCGCACATGTTGTAAAGTTTTGTTTAGTGGTATTGGCTTCTTCTGGAACTACCTCACTACGATCCGCCATTACTTGAAATCGAAGCGAATTAAAACAGTCGAATAGTAATATCGAATGCTTAGTCGTTACAGATGGCCACTATGTTTCGTCAATTTGTACAATTTGTAGAGAAGTTTGGAAAAGTGGAATACAAAAGGTCTAAACCATTAACGCAATAAGTTCAAGTGAAAGATCGCAAATTAAACTCGGTCTATTATAATAAAAGTGTGAATTAAAAAAAAAAAAAAAAATTTTGTTTGAAGTTTTTCCAAGTGGTTCGCTTCGCCCCTTTGGCAATTTTTGGTAAAATACAAGAACTAGCCACATTTGTCATCTCTTAATTTAGTAGATGACGTGCAATAAATAATTGCTATTTTTAGTATCAATTCTTTAATCGGAGAAAAAATAGATTAAAAGCATTTGGAGATTTGCAATTGTTCAAATTTCAGTTTCGTTACACAATAAATCTTATATTTACTAGAGTGTGACACATATAGAATGGAATAAAACGATTCGTTTACTATTATTACTAATGTAATGATTAATGCAAAAAATACAAAAGCAATGATATGGATATGTACTTAATGTTTTTGTTTTGTATATACACAAAATGATTATTCCATTCTCTCAATTTGTACTGATCAAAAATAAACTAAACTTGGCTTGGATCCTCAGATTTTCAAAGGTAGTGGTATAATGCGCCACAAGTGATTACCGTATTTTTGAGTAACAATTAATTGCGTGGCTTGATAAATATTAAAAGCTAATTATAATCTTGAAATTCTCATTCTCATGAAGTTTTTACTATTATTTATTCAAGGCAATACAATTTTAGTACTATGAAGGCAGAATCTAGCGGTACGAGTGAGCTCGAAAACTTTAGGGAACAATGGAAAGCTGAAATTTCAAGGCAACATAAAAAAGATTCTCACTCGAAATCTCCTGCAACTAGCGCGAATATATCCAACGCTTCGGTTGACGTCAAAAAGTCATTGGAACTTTCGGAGGAATCTATTGAAATTGAAGTGCCGAGTACGTTTGAATTAACCAATACTAATTCAGATTCAACCGATCCAGAAACAATAAGCCATAAAGCCTTGGAGATTTATGTAAAAGCCGTTACAAAGGAAAGAGAAGGAAATTTAAGCGAAGGTTGATTATTTTTTGTACAGAATTTGCAGAATTTATATAGTAGATTATAATCGTTCTTACAAGATTTTTAATTTTTAAAGCTCTTAAATATTATCGTCAAGCCTTGAAACTCGATCCTACTACAGAGCATTCCTACAGGAAGCAACTCTATAATGTAGTTAACGGTAAAACAATAGATCAAGATTCAGAATCATTCAATTTTTTTACCAAACATTTGGAAGAGGTGCCACAATTTCCTTACATTTTTATTGGAGAAGATTATGAAAAAGGCAATAAATCTTTAGAACAACAAATAAAAGATGATAATAGTATTTTTAATTTAATAAATAGTTTTCGAGATTTGCAACTTGATTTGTTACCATTGAAGCCCAATAAAGAAGTTTATATTGCCAAACTTCCTAATGAATTAATAGTTTGCATCCTTCACCAGTTAATTATTAGAGGAGATGTGACCTCACTTGAGAGGTTTGCCTTAACTTGTAAGAAATTCTTTCTCTTGTCCAGAGAGATTTCATTGTGGCGTTATTTGTGTGAAAAGGCATATCGAGATAATAGTTTGCCACTTGCTGTTTCTAATGTTTTAATCGAAGAGTATGTTAAATTATATTATCATAGTGACTGGAAAAGGATGTATATTGAAAGGTAAATAATAAGTCTAATTATTAAATTTTACAAAGTATTTATTAAATTTATTTATTATTAATTTTTTTTTTTATCAGGCCACGTATACGACTGGATGGTGTTTTTATATCTACATGCAATTATTTAAGGTAAAAAAAAACTGGTTCAAATAATAATAATAATAATTCGCGTAATTTTAATTTCGACGCTTATTAATTAGACCTGGTTCAGCAGAAAATACATGGAACCAGCCCATTCATCTTGTTACATATTATCGATATATTCGTTTTTATTCTGATGGCACTTGTGTTGCTTTATTGACGACAAATGAACCTATAAATGTTGTAAAAAACTTTGGATGCGATTATAAGTCTAAAAGTTTTATGAACGGTAAATGGGAATTAAGTGATAATCATATTTTAATGATTCAAGCGAAAGATCCTGATTTACGCAAATTTACCTTCCATTTGATTTTTGATTTGAAATCAACTCATCGAGGAAGACATAATAAACTTACATGGATTGGTATGCTTATAAAAAAATTAAAAAAATTGCAATATTTGTCACAAATTTTATTAATCCTTTCATAATTGAAAAATTCTATTTGGTATAGAATATTATAGTATAAATAATTTCACTGATGAAAGAACTGATATATCTCTAAAAAATGAAAAATCTTATTTTTTCAGTAAGGTAAGAAAGTCGCTTTGACTTTTTTTTTTTGCTGTGATCAAATTATTTAAAATATTTAAATCATTAGGTGAAAAGTTATATTGTCGTGTGGTAATTCTGCGCAAAACCGTTCAGATTCTATTTTCTGTTTCACCGGTTAAATAAATTTTGGCAATAAGAAATACGTAAGCATTTATCCGATATTATATATAGGATTGCTAAAAATAAATATTAGACCTAAAACTGCACTTGAGTATTAGTTCTTTATGCAAAAAATATTTACGTCAGGAATTCAGATTTATTGAATTATTTTTATTTTGAGAATGAAGCAATGAATTCAAGAAACGAATGTCATGTTTAAAAACTATTTATTTGTTCATATCAGATAAAACTTTCTTTACAGCGTCAGCCACAAGTTTCCTCGGAGCTTTACTACTATCAATTTTAATTTCTTTCATTATTCTACTAAAATCTTTTGAACCTTTCAAACCACTAATATCAAATTTTTTTATGAATTTCTTGACTTCAATTTCAATTTCATTTTCTGACATTTGTTCTGGTAGATAAGAAACTAATATATTTAATTCGCTTTGTTCATTTTCAACTAAATCGTTCCTTCCAGCTTGAGAAAATCGTGAAATTGATTCTTGTCGACGTTTTATCGCTCGATTTATCGTTGCATATATTTCTTGATCGGTTGGAACTCCATCCGTCGTCGTTTGCGATGTTGATTTACTTGCATATGTAATATCACTAAGTATTCCCTAAAAATCCATTCATCCATATAATGATAAATCATTTTAAATAGATGAAATTTTTATTATAATTAAATACTTACTCTAACAACATTTAATTTCAATTGATCTTTTCTTTTCATTCCATCTTTAATTTCACTTTTTAGCCTTGTAAAAAGGGAGAGTTTAGTTTCTTCAGAAATGCTAGTAGTCGAAAACCTACGCGTTGCATAAATTATTGCCATTCTATAACGCGATTCGATTTTATTACATCTTCTCAAGATCATTGGTCGGAATAGATGCAATTGCGTTACAGAAAAATTAGAGCAATTCGAAATCATTTTTTAATACTTGAAAAAATTTTTGCTAAAATTCCAAAAAAAATTTTTTTTTAGGATTATTTGAAATCACGTGGCTGAATAATTTTTTTAGGGATACACAATATTTTCCTGGCAGAAGTTTAAGGTTATTCATGCCCTTTTATGTTTAATTTTTGATTGGCTTGAGTCATTAGTAAAGAATCGTGTTTTCTAAATTACATAAACTCCCTTGAGAAAATAGTAAATCAATTGATTAGGTAGTACAAGATTTTTGAAATTATTTTATTACATAAGTTAAAATTATAGATTTGTTTTACCTTAACCAAGTATAATTAAAGTTCAAAAATAAAGAATCTTGACATATTGAACTTCCAAAAAGTAATTTAAATACTAGTCAATACATTATTAATTAATTACATATCAAAATTTTTGCATATTATATAATATTAGTAAGTTTTAAAAGTATTAATTCATTCCAGTATATGTATTGATCAATACTAGTTATAATTTGCAATATTAATATATTAATTAATACTTGTATAAACAGTTGGTATTAATTTTAATGTTAGTACAGTCGGACCTTGATGTACCGATATTCTATGTACTAATAATTGCCTCATTTGCCTGTACTGATAAATTTTTGTTATTCCATTTCACAATTAATAAAAAAACCTCGTTGTACTGATATTATATATAATTTTGCGATGTAACATGTACCAATACTCACCCCTTGTCCCTTTATAGTAGTCTATAGTAAGGTATACCAATATTTTAGGTTATACTGATTTAATTCAGGGCACTATAAACTTGGCCTAAATTAACAAGAGGATTTCCATCATTCCATTATAGTAATTAGATTTTTTAGCTCTTATTTCAACACAAAATGTGAACAACTTTTGTTTCATGAAATGTATGTTAATGAAAAGCTATAATTTAATCTTTAAATAAACTCAGAATTTGCATAATGCCGCTAAGAATTAGACTTTAGCCTGCATTATGATTCACTATATAACAATAATTCGATATAATAATATATTTTACCCAAACCAGTAGCATCAATATATCGAGGTCTGACTGTAAATTGTTTAATATCATTATATTTTATGATCTAACTACTGAAGATCACAGGTCGAAAAGTGAAAAATCAGGCATCAATCAGTCACCAATCAGGCAGTTTACTAACTTTTGATCCAGTGATCTGAAAAAGATGAAATATAGCTCATTGGAATCGTCTCAACGAGACGAATCTAATGGTAGTAAAATCGCATTTCTAGGATTAATACTTGATGAGAAATTAAGTAAAATATAAAAATAAAAATGTATCATTTATATTTTATTTAATTTTTTATTAACTATTAATCCTAGAAATGTGATTTTACTACCATTAGATTCTGTCTCTTATACACATCTAGATGTGTATAAGAGACAGGGAATATNAAAAGTTAGCAAACTGCCTGATTGGTGACGGTATTTGGCGAAAATGCCAATCAGTCACCAATCAGTCACCAATCAGTCACCAATCAGGTACCTGATTGGTGACCGATTGGTGACTGATTGATGCCTGATTTTTCACTTTTCGACCTGTGGATCTTACTGTTGGTAAATAAGTAAAGAAAGTAGTAATAGTTCTTTTTCTGTATTCTATTGTCTACTTGAATAATTGGTTATTTAAAGTATTTCCATTCTTCTTTTAGTTTAATTTTTTGGTCATAAAATTTTTTTTTTTTATTTTTTTTAAAAGATTTGGCTTTAATTTCAAAAAACTGAAATTCAATATCAAAATTTTAAAAAAAATTTTTTTTACCAAATTAATATTAATATATAAAATCTTCTTATTTTTTTGTAAATTTCAAATTTACTAAAATATATATTAAATTTAACAATAGGTATTATAAAACTTTGTTTTTTTTAATATTTTTTGAAAAAATATTTATAATTATTCTTTTATTTTCTTTTTATAAATTTTAAAAATTAAAACATTAAAATATATAATGAATTTTACAATAAATATTGTGAAATTTTTTATTATTTTTAATCAAAATTAACAATTATGTAATTTTGTTTCAATTTTTTAAACTAATTCTATATTATGTGATCTGAAATTCAACTAATAAAAAACCAGAATTTCTTATATAAGATATTAATAAAATGTAATTTTTGAAAATTTTTTATTACAAACAAAATAAAATATAAAAAAAAAAGTAGATTTTAGCAATAAAATCATAACTACCATTTGATGCGTCTTAATAAAAAAAATCTGATAAAAATTTTTTTTTTTTTTTTTTTAAATTTAAAGTTTATTAACTATGACACATGAGTCCATACAATGTAGGTGTACCACACCATGAAAAATACAGAAAATTGGTCAACCACCCCCCGAAGTGCAATGTGAGAATGCGTTAATAAACCCAATGCAAGTGCACCATAGAACCAAAGAAAAATGCAGGAAAACAAAAAACAAAAAAAACCCCTACATTTAAAACAAAAACAAAAAGCAAAATGAAAAAATAAGGAAACAGTCAGTAACGAAGCCGATCTACTACAACTATACACCTAAAACTAGGACTATCTAACCATTCTTTCGAAATTATATTAAGACGCTCCCAATTTTCTAAGCATCGACTTTATTTCTGCTAATATAGTAAGCTTGTCAATACCGCCCAAGGCCTTATCTATATTCTTGATTTTCTTGCCACCTTTGTCTTCTTACTCGACTGTGTGTTAATAGAATTTGTTCGAATCTTGGAGTCTCCTTCTTGATTCACCTTCTGAAAATTCCTCCTTCTTTGCTTCAAGTTAGGGGTAAAGTACCTCATCTAATCACCAGTAAATTCATTTAAGCTAAACGGCTTACCAATGACCTTTTCCAAGTCAGCCCACGATTCGTAGTAAGTGATTAACTTGCAGGTACCCGATCTTGAATTAATTTAAATGCTTTACATCCAATGGGTGCAAGAATAGAGTGAGCAGGATTTTCTGGGTATAAAGTTGCAGTGTTTACTAAAGCAGGAACTCCCTTAAGCACTGCCTGGAATCGTTCCCATTCTTTTTTTTGTTTGAGATCCCAGTTAGCCGGAAACCATCGTACGGGTAAACCTCCAAGTGGAGCTGTCCATGCTCCATCATTCCATAGTCTTGTTGCCTCTTGATTGAGTTCAATCGAAACTGTAACAGTAACGTATTTCTGTTGAGATTTAAATTTAATCGCAACTACTTGACCCCAGGCTTTAAGATGATTAAGCATATCAAGTTGAGACCAGGTGGAGGGGATATCGTAAACTGTAATTTCCTGGGTAAGGTTCTTATTCACGGGCACATATCCAGTCATAACGGTACTAATAGTTTTAGGGGAAGTGGCAGCTGGTTGTTTCTTGGTAGTCTTAGAAGGACTTTGGCTAAAGTTAGCTTTAGAAACGGGTGCAGTTTTTCTCTTTTTACCCCAGAAGGTGAAGGTGAGCTCGATCTGCTGACATCATCTTTCGGGTCCTGTTTAACCATGTCAGCGTACAAAACACGCTTTTGTTTACCTTTGGGCATAAATGGAGTGGCGGTAGTTGAGAGGTTTTTGATTGGTTCCTCTTGTTGTGCTGCAACTTTTAATTGGTGTTTGGGCATTTTTGGCGCTTCTAAAATTTCTATTTCCATCGGTTGATCCTCTACAGATTCGGACGCGTCTGGTATTTGTTTTGGTGATGTCATCTGTTGTTGCATAAACTTTTTGCAAGCGCTTTCCATCCTTTACTAACGCTGGCTTGGATAAAGTCGAAAGACTCATAAAAAAGAAAGAGTAAGTGGTATAAAGATTGTATATCACCAATACTGAAGGTTGAGAGGGCTTCATGATGTTCCATTAGCAAGTTAGTAAGGTATTCACCATCGCCAGAAGCTTTTTCAACGGTTCGAGCAATATCTTCTTCAGTTAAACTGAAGGAGCTATATTTTCTAAAGGTGTGGTTAACCAGTTCATAATAAAGAGCTCTATTCACAGCTGTGTCAAGGTCGTCGCCTTCATGAAAGGCTTTGGAAAGGTTGGTTATCGACGAGAAAGCCATAAGTTCAAAAAATTTTCCTTCAAAATTCCTATGAGAAAAAATAGTCCATGCGATCAGCGGAAAGAGTTCTTTGAATTTTATCATTCAAATCTGATAAAAATAAAATTGTCCTTCTACAAATATTATATAACAGAATAACTTATAAAATCTAAAAATTTATAAATTAATATAACTATTTATTTATCAATTTTAGAGTTATGATTTTATTACCATTAAAAGCACCTTAATAAAAGAAATTTAACAAATATAATTTTATTTTTATATAATTACTAGATCTTAAAATATTTTAAAAATTCAAAAATTTTTAAAATTACTTTTAGCCCCTACTATACATGCTGCCCAAATTATTTTGGGATGCCATAATTATAATTTGGGATGCTATAATTCATTCAGTTTATATATAATTTACTATGTAAAATGCCAAAATAATTTGGGATGCCATAATTGAATTTAGGATTTTACTTATATTTATGGCAGCTTAAAATAATTTGAATGGCATATATAGCCCCTACAGTTTAAGAAATAAATTATACTAAATATATTCATTAAAAAATTTGAATATGTCAATATGAATATATAAATAGAGAATTGCAAATAATATGATAGATACATTTTATTATTTTTTATTAAAAAATTAAAATTTTAATCTTTATTTATATACTAATTTTTTTATATATAAATATATTTATTTTATTGCAAAATTTATTGCATTTAATATATTATTTATATAATATTATATTAATTTACTTTTTAAGTAAATATTATCTTTTAATTTTATTTTTTCTTATTTATTAAAATCACCTGTTGAATTGCATATAAATTAATTATAATAATAGCATTGAAAAAGGATAAATTAAAAGTATATATTCAATTGCAATAATTGGTAAATTATAAAATATGTCACTAATAGATCCATTTAAACTTATAAAAAAAAGAAAAAAATAGTTAGTGACTGTTTTATAATAATAAAAAAAAACAAAAAAATAAAAATTTAAAAATATTAATAATGTAGTTTGGATTATTTATAACATTACAATTAGTTATATTAATAAGAGAACTATCTTTATTTACAGTTTTAAAATATTATTATTATATAAAGAATTGAAATACATAGTGAAATTTGATATAATAGAACTATCTGTTCTAATAAAAATATCCAGTATATTGAAACTTTTGATATATCAAAAAATTTTGATTAAAACTTTAAACAGTTCAGTTCAATTTTATTTTTTTAGTTTTTTTTTAATTAATTTTATGTAATAACTCACTATCCAGTAATTGTAAAAAAATAATTAATAGCTTGTTAGAATTTTATTTATTAAGACAGTTCAAATGGTACCAAAATTATCTTTCTAATATTGATAAATGGTAAATTATTTTTACCAATTTTTCAAAAAATAACTTACCATCTATTAATGCTATTAGTTAGTGAGAAGATTTTAATGAACTATTAATCATTTTTTTATAATTACTAAATGGCAAGTTATTGCACAAAATAATAGATTTTAAGAACTAAAAAATAGAATTGAACTAATCTGCTGTTTATAACTTTAATTTCAATACACTAGATTTTATATATAAAAAAAAATTATTTATTTTACCTAGTTTTTACTTTTTTTTACTTTATTATTAGATATATTTTTAATAAAAGTTTGTAATTAAAATGTAAAAAAAAATTATATATATAATTTATTATTTTTTTTTAAAAGTTAAAAGTTTTATTAAAATTTCAAATAAATAATTTAATTTAAGAAATTTTATTTATATTATATTCTTATAAAGTAGTGAAATTTTTCTGAATATACTGACTAAAAATGTTAAAAATATTAAAAAATCTTTATTTAAATTTTTAAAGCTTGCATTATTTTACTAAAATTTCTAAAAAATCATTATATTTGCTGCTAATTTTATTGGTTTAAAATTGTAAATTGTCACATATTTTAGTAAATTGAATCATTTTTATTATAACTGATTTGTTATTTATTTTATTATAATTATTATCAAAATTTTAAATTTATAATTCTAATATAAGGTTAATTCTGATTTATTAGGATTTTGTTATATCTGAAGTCTATATTTATTCTTCAAGTTAGAGGAACTTTTGAGTTACAGCTATTTAAAATATTATTTTTATAAGGGTTTTTTTATATTATTAATTATATAAATATTAGTTGTTAATATTTAAATATTACAAAAAATATATAGCAAATCAAAAGTACTCTTCTATTACTAAATAAAAGACCAGAATGCTGAATGGAAGGATTTTAATGTGGATAAGTGGTAAGATCCAGTGCTTTATGAAATTTCCTTATGTGACTTTTCACAAATTTGTTCAACTGCCATAAGTGATATAAAGATATTTACATCCAATAATTTTAACAACTATTTCATATTCAATCAACAATTTAAATTATTTATATAGTGCCTTTTTATTATTAAGATCATTTACAATTCTTTTCATTAGTTTAACAGCATCTTTCACTTCACTTCTAATATAATAAACCACTTTTCATCCAATCCTATTATATTGAAACCAGTAACAGTTGAACCATTTCCTTTAGTACTGTCTTATATAAATTCTTTTGTACTATTAAAAGTTCTTTTATACCTTTATTTTAATCAAGCTTGTATTGCTTATTTTTTGCTTTCAACAAAAAAATTGTATATAACCTGAAGCAATCAGAATTTATACAAGTTAACATGGTGAATTTCAATACAAATTAATGCAATAGCCTTTGTCTAATGAGGACCCTGGATAATTATAATAAAGGTCATATACAAAAAAAAGTATATTTTATTGTATTTTTAATGAAAAGGTCATATGCAAAAGCAGGTATTTTAAGTAAAAGTCACATGCAAAAATAGAATACTTCTGAATTAGGTCACAGTAAAATAAGTATATAATTTTATGTAAAATTTTAAGGTCACATGTAATTTTTCTAATAAAGCGTATATTTTAGGGGGAATATAGTGGGGAATATAATATGCAGTAGTGTTACATCAAATTTAATATAAATAGCAAATTTTGTTTGAGATAATTTTATCATAATGATAACGTAATAAATTTATATTCAAAAAGTTCATTTTTTTATCACAATGTAATATAATTATTTAAATTTATTAAATTTATTTGCTTTTTATGTCAGATAAATTTACCAGAGATTCAATATGATTTACCATTAATTATTTTTAAAATGTTAAGACTTAAGATACACGTTTTCGTGTTTTAATTTTTGTCTTTAATGTCATTATATATCAATACAAAATGAAATATCTTGAGAAACTTTTAAACATTAATACTTTCTACAATTCCACCTCCTAATATTCATTCTGTTTATGTTTCAAATATTAATATATCTGATATCTTTTTTATTACTTTTGATACTCCTTATGAGACTCTTCCACCGTTAGCCAGAATTGATAATACTGCTGAAAAGATCCTTCATTTGCAATATTCACATTTAACTTCCGCAGCTGTCTTTTCTAATGGGGGTTGTTTATTAAACCTTAGCATTACAATTTAGACTAGCTATGATTTTAAAATTAATGAATTTTTGGGAAATTGCGAAAATTTCACTGAAAATATGGGATTTTTAATTTGTAGGAAAAAAAGAAATGATAATCTATAATTTTTAATTCAGCTATAGATAAATTACAGTTGATTATTTCTACAGAGTCAATTGATGATAATGCTGTATAATTTTAATATAAAATAAAATTTTGACCTATTTTTTAGTAAATTGATGTCATATGATAAAAAAGGATATTTGTAGTACAAAATAAGGTCATATGATAAAAATGTATATCAAAACGGCAAAATTTATGTATATTTCATTAGATTTTTAATTAGTACTGCGGATGTGACCTCTATTATAATTATCCGGGGTCCTGTCTAATGGTTCCTTTGGTAATTGAAACTTCTCTGACAAAAACGTCTTCTGAAGAAACCTAAGTATTATATGATCCATTTTTTTTATAGCAAGAGGAGTGCAAGAGGTAAGTAATTGCGATTTTAATGTATTAAACTGATAATCAAGTGGCTTAGTTGCCTTTATCCACGTGATATGCCCGCAGATCTATGATCTGATTAGCCGATCATATGGTAGCTCGGAGTTAAATTTAGACTATATAAAATTAATTTATTAATTTAAATAAACTTTGTAAAGATTTTAATAAATTTATTTATTTATTTGCAATTCTAATTAAATTAATAATAGTTTAACAGATAAACTATTATATATTATATATCCTTTTAGTTATTCTAATGAATTTTAAAAGAAATAAAATAACCAATATGAATATTAATTTAAAAACTTAACTATGATCTTTTGGAACTAGTGATGTAAGGATTCAGATCTTACCTTTTTTCTTACAAGAAAGTTTACCAATATAATTGATATTTGAACCAATTCCTTTTGATTTTATGATTTAACATTTGATTTTCTAGATCACTTCCTTTAGGAAAAGAGTCATGAAAGTTAGTCAAATGATTTGCACTCAAAAGGTAAGGGTACATATATTTTACACAAAGAAATATCACGAGGAGTCTTGGCAATGAGAAACTTTTCTTGTTTGAACTGGTTAAATGTATTTGAGCGCAAATCCTATTTATGTGATAGCGTAACGGCTTTGAACAAGTGACCATTTACTTAATAGGATCGCCGATTTTTAAATATATATGCATATGTAATCAGCTTATCTTCATAATGTTGAGCTAAATTTGGGTTAATACGGTTGTATATACTTGAAAAAGTTATTCCCTAAGTGGTATATTATATAATATTCATTATTACGAAATCGATACATTGTTGAATTGATAATACCATCACATGACACCATATATTAAATAAACCAATAAGACTTAAACAACATCATTTATTTCTTTTGATAAAAAAATGAATAATATATCAATAATAAATAAAAAATAATTCTGATATTTCATAAACCAAATATATATAATTGGAATAATAAATTTTTACAATGATTATAAATAGAAATGTAAAATGCGAAACAATTACCTGAAGCAAGTCAAAGATCTCGTATTTCTCAAGACAGATCTCATTGCAGGTAGGCATTCAAATCGGATTAAATTATATTTTACAATTCCATCCCATCATCACCGTATTCGTTATTAGCACCTAAATATCCTTCATAATTTTTGTGAATTCCACTCCCCAAATTCGAGTCAAAGTCCAAATCCATTTCGATAGAAGGAGTTGTTGGATATTCAGGAATTGGAGAAAGTTTACCATTTTCCATTATATCACAAATTCGTCGCTCATGCATGATCTCTTTAATCATCCGTGATTTGCTTCCCTAGAGATCATAATGTTTTTACATGTTATAAAAGGTCCTTTTTTTTCTTATGAAATAAATAAATAAATAAATTATTACCTGTGTGAAGGATTCTTGAGGCAGCCAAGGAGGTCGTTGATATAAAACCAATGCCCGTACTGGATTTTCCCTGCAGGATAATTTTTGATTTATTTAGCAAATAGTGCCAAATTCAATTTTATGTAGATACATATTCTCCATTAAAAAAATGCGCACGTCCTCGGAGCCAACAATTCATTTGGTATCTTCTTTAACGTTTTTTGAATCTCCCGTGGGATCTCAAGAGAGGGATTGTTTTCATCTTCACTTTGATCTGAATCTGTTTCTGCGTCAAGATCCGTAACCATGACCACATGTTTTCGTCTTGTTGGAGAAACCGGAGTGTAGTCTTGATTATTTTCCAGATCCATTATATAATTTTCGTTTCGTTCATTATTATTTGGTGAACCTTAGAAAAGAAATTATATTAAATAAAATAATCAAGATCTAGAAGTAAAAAGAAATTGAAGCTTTACTTTCATTTCCATATAAAGATAAAGCAGTCAATTCAGAGGACAAGAACTCCGAGACATAACGTCTTTTAGCCCGATCTGACCCCAGCTGATCTAATTCTAATTCAACAGGATGTTCCCGTTTTCTAGAAGTGAAATTCATTTCTGGATTCATTTTATTGAGCTATAAAGAAAGAGAAAAATTAGAAGTAAGGCTAAGAAAGTTGTACGAGTATTGAGTAATTTGACGTGTTTTAAGTCTGTGCTTGCTGCGCATTGATTTTCCGAAAATCTTAAATTATTGTTTATTTTAAATTTTTTTTGCCCATATGATGTTAATCATTATAATCATTAAAAAAATAACTATGATTTAGAAGTAAAACAATACTTAATTAGCCAGTATATATAAAAAAAAAGATAACCAATCGAAAATTTTTGATGAAAAGTTTTACTTATCTGGGTATAATGATTATCATAAACTTAAATAGATTCCGATTAGTGATCCGAATTATTTTCTCACTTTTTTTTTTTTTGTTCATCTTTATCTCCATTTTTTCTCTTCCGCAGTCCTTGGACAAGGGAGAATTATTTATTTTTTTTCGAATTGAACTTTATCCCACAATATATAATCTGAATACCACAGATTNTTTTTTTTTTTTTTTTTTTTTTTTTTCAACTGTCCTTTACTTGTTCGCTGATCGAACTTAAAGGAATTAACACATTACGACTATTAACATTCTCAAGCTGTAAGGTTAGTTTATAAAATAAATAAATAAAGTTTCTAATGTCTTTAAAAGAGCTCGATTTATTATTATTAATATAGAATGTGATAAATCTGAATTTTTTTTTAAATTTTTTTTTTTTTCTTAGATTATTACTTCTAAGGGTAGTTTCAAAAAAATTTATTATATTTAACATGAAACTTTTTGAAGCCACACATACTTTTTTTTATGATTGGTCTCAAGTTTCTGCAGCAAATTGGAGAAAATATCCCAATGCTAATTGTCCGCATGTTGTGGCCATAGATGTTCTGGACCGACATGTTGATCCTGAAACCGGCGTACTACGAACTGAACGGTTAATAACATGCCATCAAACTATACCAGGCATGTTGAATAGAATGTGTGGTGGTTGTACTATATCTTACGCTAGAGAAGTTAGTGAAATCGATCCTCAAAATAAAGTACTGAAGATGACCAGTTGTAACTTATCTATGAATCATTTGATTAATGTTACTGAGACTGTTACTTATACTGAGGATCCAACGAACTTATCGAGGTATGCAAAAAAAAATTTTTTCCTGTGTTTTTTTTTAAAAAAAATTGCTTCTAGTTTCTTTTAATTAATTAGCAATTTTTCTTTTTTTTTAGAACATTATTCAAACAAGAAGCAAGAATCAAATGTGGTGAATCAATCTCTCGATTCGCTGGATATATAGAGAACTTTTTTATTCAACGATTCAGAGATAATGCAGCACAAGGACGAAAAGGATTTGAAAATGTATTGATGGGTCAAGGGGAAGCTGCATAAAAATAGAATTGAATCTTCCCCACATAAAAAAAAAAAGACATTTTTTTATTAGAGATATACATACATAGTATTTACATATACGGTATATATAAAAAAAGTATACTTTATGTTATAGTAACACTAACACTATTATTATATAATAATTTCCACCCCAAAATTTCTTTAATTCCCCTGTAAAAGTTTCCCCATAAACTTTCGTTCTTTAGATTTAAAAAATTACACATCAAAAAATCATTCATGTCATCAATACCATCATTTTTACATTATGTATAAAAATTATTCTTCTGTGTACTTGAATATATTAGTTTAATTTATATCACAATCTATGAAAAAAAAAACAGACAATAAAATTATTTTACAACATAAAAATTGTATTCTTGTTATAAATTGTTTGTACTTTAAATCAATTAGACATTACAAACTGAATTTCTTAAAAGAATCTCATTAATATTATTTATTTAACTTTTAATTGATTAAAATTTTATAAACAATATCTATTTTGTAATCTTTTTAATCTTTTTTTTCTTTATCTCTTTCTCTTCTGAATCTTCAAATTTTATATGTTTAGCTTTTGGCATAACACATGCAGCCTATACAACAATTAAATAATAGATTTTCAAATTAAAATCGAAAATTTGATACCAAATTCACAAGAAAATTAATTTAATTTAATCACTTACATAACCAGGAAAATCATAATCAATTCCCAAATCTTTTAATTTTTTTCGTTTCATTTCTTCTTTTTTAACTAATTTTTGAATTTTATTCTCTACTTGTTTTAATGATTTCTTTTTGGTACGCCTTTTTAATTCCATTTTAAGATATGGTTCAGGTTTATAAACTTTATTCGCTCCTATCCACATGTAAGGATTTATTTTTTCTTGAGGTACTATTTTACCTGATTAATAAAAATAAATGATATTAAAAAAAAAAATTTTCAATCAATAAATAGAACTTACATTACTTACATTGAAGAAGTCGATTAAATAAAGGATAATTATGCATTGTTTCGGCCACTATTTCTGCAACTTCATTAGATGCGAATTCAATAAATGCGAAATGTTTTGGTTTTCCAGTCTAACAGTAAAAAAAGATCATTATTAAGTTAATAGAATGAAAAAAAAAATGCAACATTTTTAATTTATCAGTTTCCAACCTTCTTATTTCTATATAATTTTAATTTAGTGACAGTTCCAAACTGCTCAAAATATGATTGCATCTGTTCCTCATAAAATCCATGAGGTATTCTTCCAAGATATACAACTCCTGGTGTTGTTTTATCACCCTAAAAGAAAAAAAAAAAAAAATATTAACCAACATTTTCTAATTAATAAAATCAAACAAATTTTTTTTACAACTTGATCAAAAATTTTATTTATTACTTTATCCTTGATAGTTTCTAATTTCTTCTTTAATGCTTTCTCATTATTAATATCTAACGAAAAAGTTTGTGTATCTCCCTCAATCTCATAATTCACTTTATAATCGTCTTCGTCAGAACTATATTCCCCTTCACTACTACTTAATACTTCTGTCGATACCTTCATAAAAGTTGCTTCTTTCTCATTTTTATCCATTATTTTTTAATTATGATGATTTTTTTTTTATCCGATTATCGTTTTTTTTTTTTACAATTCATTTAGTCATTACATATCACGTGATTTTAAAATAATTGCGTAGTAAAAAAAAAAAAAAAGAGCGGTAAGACCATGAAATATTACTTATTTCTCTCAACTCCCCATATTCTTAAGATCAGGTTTAGAAAC